AGACCTCGTCCCTCCCTAGTCGTGCTGAGTCAAGCCCCCTCTCCTACAGAGCTCCCAGCCATATGGGACACTCCTGCCCCTTCCGCTACACCATAATCCAGGCTTTCTCTCTGCTTGAAACACTCCCACCCGTGCCTCTTCCCTTAGCCCGTTCCTGCTCACCCACTGGGTGCCATCGCTTCCTCTGAAAACCTCCCCTGACCTCTCCACGCCACAGCTCCCTGCCCAGGTTAGGTGCCTGCCCTGTGCGCTCCTACTGTCCACTGCTATGGCCACTCCGCGCACTTTACCGTAATTGCCTGTTTGACCATTAACCCCCTTCAGCATACAGCCCCATACAGCATGCAGCCCCCTGGCAGCTACAACTATGGTTAGTCTCACCAACTATAATAGCCCTGGCTTCCGATCAACATGCAATGCATCTTGTTAAATGAGTAGACGATTTATAATAATAAAACATATAACTTATAGGAGGTACAATAAATGGCGCAGTTGTTGTCATCGTCAAGCACAGGGCTAGCTCATTAATCGGGTAGTGAATATTTATTTTCAGTTAAGTGGCATGTCTCCAGCAATGCTGTGCGTGGTGGGGGTGCAGCAGAACAGACACTTACTCTGGATTCCATCTCACACTGGGAGGGCATCTCGGCTCCCTGTGTGCAGCCGCTGTGAACCCACTAATGCCCAGGATCCCCCGCCCTGCAGCTCAGAACTCCCTCCACATGGCAGGTCCAGGGTTGTACTGAGCCTGAGACATGGGGTCGGAGCATCTAGAGTTTCTTCTTCCCTGTGCCACCAACACACCGAGCCCGCTGGGTCACTTCACCTCTCCAGGCCTCAGTTTTCTCATTTATCAAATAAGAGATTTGGAGTGCAAGTAAAAACCAAAGTAATTGGACAAGTCACCATCTCCAAGAAGGCTTCCTGACTTTTCTAGCTGAAAACACTCAAGCCCCGAGAGGTCCATGGTGTAGCCAAGTCCCCTGAGGACCAGGGCGAGGGGGAGGACAGAGAAGAGAGAGGGGTGCTTTGTGCTGGGCGGCCCCTGCACACCAGCCTCCCACGGTGCAGGCCATCTGCAATCTGATGGGGACCTGGAGACCGAAGTACAGATTGGTATGCAAACCAGTTCCAAATGCCTCCTCACCACAAACCCTCTGGGCTTTAACAATTAACCTGCTTAACTACCAAACAGATAAGCGCTGCTCGGGAGTTCACTTTATGTGAAAGGTCACTTTCCAGGAGCAAGGAGCCTTCCCTTCTTGTCCTTTCTGATTTACTTCTAATAGTAAATCTTCTAAACCAACCTTACAAATATCTAACCTCTCAACTAGAGACAGTAATGATTCATCTCAAGACGGATTACATCCTGCAAAATTAGTAAATAAGGCTCCTAGTCAGGCACTTAACTACTTGGATGCCTGCAAGAGAGCAGGTGGGGTAGTCAAAACTAGTTAATGTATTGGCTGGCCCATTTCGGCAAAATTTATCACACTTGTCTGAACATCTCTAGACAATCTACCACAATTGCCACCAGGAGCCTGTAGAAATCCACTGCCTGATGAATTCACACTTAGGAATTTCAAACTGAAAACCTCCTTGCAAACAAGTGCATAGGAAACCAAAGCACATAGAGAGAAACAGTCTGCCTCAGGTCAGGTGTGCAGTTGTGGGTAAGAGCAAGAACTGTGGAGTCCCAATGCCTGGGTTTGAACCTGGGTCCTCCTCTCCCCAGGTGGGTGACTTCACCTGCTTAGGCTTCAGTTTCCTTCTCTGCAAAACTCTCCTGAATTAGGATTGTTCTGAGCATTAAGTGATCTGATCCAGGCAAAGCACTTGGCATAAATAAGCGCCCAGTAAGTGTACATGGGAGGAAGGGGGACGCGTGGGTTTGCAAATGATCTTACGTAATGGAGAAGCAGAGAGCCACACTCCACCAGAGACATTTAAAACTAACCCCTAATTAGTCCGCTAACTGTGTCTGTGACCCCTGAAACTTCTCCTCTCCCATCCCCCAAAGAGACAGGGCTGGTCTGACATGGTGCCTGCTTCTAGAACAGATTCCAAAGGAGTTTATTTAAATTCTGCAAAACATCAAGCATATATAGCAGAAACAGTCCTAAAACGAAGGAGTCCATAGAAATATATTTAACGAAAGAAATGTAAGGTTTGCACACTGAAAACTACAAAACATTGTTGAGAGAAACTTAAGACCTAAGGAAGTAGAAAGGCCTCCTGTGTTCATGGGTCAGAAGACTTATTATTGTTAAAGTGCTGATGTTCTCCCAAACGGATGCAAAGATTCAATGTAAACCCTGTCAAAATCCTAGCAGCAGGCTTCCTGCAGAAATTGACAAGGGGATCCTAAAATGCACATGGAAATCAAAAGGGACAAACAGTCCAGAAAGAGGAGCATGAAGTTGGAGGACTCATGCCTCTCAATTTCCAATTTTACTACAAAGCCATACTAATTCAGACAATGGGATACTGGCATAAGGACAGATAGATAGATCAATAGAACAGAACTGAGTCTAGAAGTAAACCCTGACATTTATATTCATCTGATTTTCAAAAGGGCTTCAAGATCGTTTAATGGGGAAAAGATGGTCTTAACAAATGGGATAACTGGATAGCCACAGACCAAAGAATGATGTTAGATTCCCTCAGATTGTACATAAAATGTAAGAGCTAAAATTATTAAACTCTTAGAAGAAAATATGAAAGTAAATCTTCAAGACCTTAGGTTAGGCAATGGTACTTAACTATGACACTAAAAGCACAAGACAAAATTAAAAGTAGATACATTAGACATCATAACAATGAAAAACTCTTGAGCTTCAAAGGGCATCATCAAACAGTAAATTGGCAACCCACAGAATGGAATAAAATTAATGGCAAATCATGTATCCAGGATATATAAAGAATGCTTACAATTCAACAATAAAAAAGACAACACAATTTAAAAATGGATGAAGGATTTGAAAAGCCATTTCTTCAATGAAGATATAAACTATAAATGCATGAAAAGATGCTCACCGTTATTAACTACCAAGGAAACTTGACTCAAAACCACAGGGAGGTGCCATTTCACACGCACAAGGATGGCTACGTTCAAATACACAGACAGTAACAAGTGCTGGTGAGGGCGGAGAGAAATCGGAACCCTCACACATTGCCGATGGGGACAGAAAATGGGCAGCTGCTTTGGAAAACAATTTGGCAGTTTCTCAAATAGTTAAATATAGATATGTGTCATAGATAGGTAATTATGTGACTTCATTTCTAGGAAATGTCCAGAATAAGCATATCCATAGAGACAGAAAGTAGATTACTGGTTGCCAGGGCCCTGGGGGAATAAAAAAGGGGCCCTAGGGAGTGACCACTAATGCGTATGAATTTCTTCTGGGGGTGGTGAAAATGCTCTGAAGCTAGTGGCGATTGTTGCATAACTCTGTGAATGTAGGAAAACCACTGAACGACACATTTGAAAGGAGTGAATTTGGTAGTATGTGGATTATATCTCAAAGCTGTTACTGAAAAACAAAACAAAAACAAACCTAAGAAGCGTAGGCGCCTTCGCGGCTCCAACATGGCGGTCCGCATCCTCTCCATTTGGCTGCCAGGGCGAGCCGTAGAAAGGGACCCACGCCTCTTGTTCTGCTGCGGTCTCTACCGCACCTACCTCGGGGCACACCCCACTAACCTAAACTCTCTACAGCCAGAGCAGCAGCACTAGTGACAACAGCAACGCGGCTGTTTATTGTCGGTGTTGTCAGGCATTACTGGAATGGCCCCCACAGGTAAGAACACGGCCCCGTGGGCTCTCACCTGGGTCACAGCAGGAAACCTCCTGTGCACAGAGCTCAGAGGGACCTTACGAAGCCCAGCATGTACCCCTGACAATAGCACCCATGGCCCCACAGCATCCGCCCCCCCCCCCCCGTCCCCCTTTGCACCTCCCTAACTCTCTCCTTCATTTCACTCCAGTGCACTGGTAGGGTTGCCAGATAAAGTACAGGCCAGCCAGTTAAGTTTTAATTTCTGATAAGCAATGAATACTTTTACAGTAGAAGTATGTCCCAACTATTGCATTATTCACTGCTTATCTGAAATTAAAATTCCACCAGGTGTCCTGTCATTGTGTCTGGCGAGCCTAGGCACCGGCCTCAGGTCCTCCCTGAAGCACAGGAAGCACACCGTCCCTGAGGTCTTCACATCGGCTCTTCTCTCTGCCTGAAATTCTCTTCCCCCAGCCATTTACATGGCTCCCTTTCAAAATTCAGGTTTTTGTCCAAGTGGGACCTCATGTTAGGGCTATCTCTGAATCCACGCCCTGACACCCCCAGGCCCTCCCCCCAGCAGTCATCACCACCTGACAGGTTATCCATTTGGTTGGCTCCTGTCTGCCCCCCCTCAGTGTACTAGAAACTCCTGGAGGGCAGGGCTGCTTGTATTCACTGTTACATTCCCAGGGCTTAGAACAGGGCCTGGCTCACAGCAAATCAGTAAATACTCATCATCTGGTAAACACAGAAATGTTGTGTGTGGTTATTCGTCAGATGTTCAAACATCCCTTGAGACAAACACTGCATCAACTGTGTTGCACATACAGGAGGCATCTGAAAGGCCACTGTCTCACTTCTGAGTGTCTCACCGTAGCCAGCGGTGGGGCTGCTGCAGACGCACGAGCCAGACGCCACAGCTGGCCCCTGGCCCACCTCCCTGCACCAGCTCACTGTCACAGGCACAGGGGCAACTCGGAGCTAAGGCAGCAGATGTTTCTGCCTCCTTCCCATTTCAATTATTGTGGGTGAGAGGAAGGAAGGCTCCCCCCACATACCTGAGTGAGAGCCTATGTTTACATCTAACTGACACCTTAATCCCAGAATTGAACTACACCACTTGATTTTGCTCACGTGATTGTTGTTTAACATAAGGTATATCGAATAACCACTTAAGCAGTGTGTCATAGAGAAGTCGGCATAGGTGTCTATACTCACTTTTATTTCTTCTTGAACATCAGAATTGCGGAAATTTAAATCTGGTTGCTCTTTTGTAAACTGGTGAAAATAACATTGGTTTCGTACTTCATCAAAGTGCCAACTGGAATTTCCATATACACTTAACTAGCAAACAGAAAACAGTAAATCAGTTATTTGGCATGATTCATGTGATGGTGTGGCTCATAAAAAAAAAAGTGATGAATTGCCATCCCTGGCCCTCACCCCAGCCTGAGTGCACAAATCCCCAGAATTTTCCTTCTAGGGAGAACATGAGGTAAATTAATTCCCTAAAATGCCACTCCCTGGCCTAATGCCCCACAACATATTGTGATATGTTTCTATAGTAGAGCTATTCATAACAATCACAATAGCAAATGAATGCTCTCAAAGGTAGGATAAGGCCAGCTGATGGAGCAGACATTTCTAGCAGTTTCTTCAACCTTTCGTCCAGCTCTGGAGTCCTGTTTGTGAAGAAAAGCAAACGATGGTCAGTTTGGGAGAAAGACACACTTTACTGGTCATGGCATTTGAATCCAAATGGAGTGATTATTTAAACTGCATCCTCTGAAAAGCATTAGCATCATCCAATTAAACATTCTACTAGTTTGGCCAAACACATCTGCCAGTAATTCACCAAAACGAATTACGAAGGGAAAGAGCAGAGGCATCCACCACACGTTCTCTAGACCTTTTAGAAAACGTGGAGTTGTTCCTTTGGCCAAATACATGAGAATCTACCAGAAGGAAGCCCAAGAGAAGGTTCCAGGGCTCAATGGAAGCGCCAGCCCACTCCACCCAGAGACGTCCACTATGTGCGAACCGGTGGAAAAGAGCCCCAGCTGCTGGAGACCGTTGCCTATGAACTCACAGCATGATAAGTGTAACAAAATAAAAGAACCCTGGACTGTTTTTTAAAAATCTAGCGGCTTGAGGTGTTTGTACCCAGTAGCGTCTGACACTGGTACTGATTTCCTCTTTCTGGAAACGCTCACACCACGGCTGCCTGCCGTGACTCTCCTGGTGGGCTCCCCTATGGAGAAGGCGTGCACCCCATTGCTCCTTCTCAGTCTACAAGGGGGGTCCTGAAACATGACAGTTCCTCCGGGCTCTACCTTGGGGCAGTCCTTCATTTCATGCTAAAGGAGACAGCATCCGGACAACATTGAAAAACAGAGGGATTTTGCCTGCATCTTTTTCTGTTTGTAGTTGGAAGGCCAAATCACTCTGGGTCCACATTTCCATGGCAACGCCTGGCTGAAGCTAAGCAGTAGCCACTGACTTCTGAGTAAACATACCTTTCAGCTCACCTCCTGGCCCACCTGGACACACACGAGGGTAAGATATTTACAGTAGATATAGCCAAGAAAAAAATCAGTATGCAGAACACAAGAAGAACTCTACAAAGCTATATAGATTGGCACAAACCCTTTGGTAATCAATGTGGCATTATCTTGTAGTTAAGCCCATGGTGTCCTGCATGCAGCAGTCTCACCCCCAGTCATTCTCCTTACAGAAGCTCTTGCACACGTGCCCCAGGAGAAGGAGATGGATGAGAATGTTTACAAGGGCATTGTCAATAGTAAAAAAGAAAACTGGAAACTGCCCAACTTTCCATCAGCCAAAGATTAGATAAGTAAATCATAAAATATTTACACAGTGGAAATGTATGAACCACACATACCAAACAATCGGGGGAAAATCTAGTAGCGAAAGACTATATGTGGCATAATGAGTCTCATACAGTTCAAAATGAAAGAGACTAAATAATTAAAAGTTTAAAAATGTGTAGCCTATGTAGTAAAGGCAAAACAAAAGGAAGGACCTGGTTCAAGGCCGTGGCTCCCTCTCAGAGGAGGTGGGGGAGGGGCGCCGAGGAGAGCCCGCAGGTAGTTTGGGCAGGTTAGGTAACGTTCAAATTCTTAATTCGGGGCAGGGTTCACTGAAGTTCATTCACTATATTATTATTTTCCTAGCTTAGAGAGACAGGGTCTAGCACAAATAATGCCCCTTCTTTATTACAAAATCTTTTATTACAAAATCATAAGCATGTAATTCTGTAACATAACAATATCACACTCAAACACACTGTATGACATTTAGGTGAAATGTTCAAATTAAAACTATAAATTACTATACCCACTTTATTATCCTACCAACCACACCCAAGCAGGTGTTATTTCTGCCGGACCCTGTATATTACAAATATTTTTAAACAGTTTAACTCAGGTATAATTGAATATAACAAACTGCACATATTTAAGGTGTACCATTGGATCAGTTTGGACAAATGTATTCCTCTCACCATGCTCAAAAGAGTAAACACAGCTATCCTGTCTTATCCCGAACCCCACTCTCCCATACCTCCCTGTCTCCCTCGCATCTCTATAAACAACTAACCTACTTCTCGCCACTAGAGATTAGTCTAGACTTTCTAGAATTTCATGTAAGTGGAATTATGGAGTATGCACTCTTTGTCTGGCTTCTCTCACTCTGCAGAGTTACTCTGAGCTTCATCAATGTTGTGTGTATCAATAGTTTATTCCTTTTTATTGCCAAGTAATATTCCATTGTATAGAATATTACTGCCAGGTGTTTATACATCCATCATATATTACATATATTAAATATGCATCAACTGTTGCATTAAAACAAAAACACAGCCTTGGCTACAGTAGAAAACTGATGGAAGAGTGGAAAAACTAGATGCCAAAAGATGCAGCCATTACAGTTCAGCAGACATGAGCTGATATGGTTTGAAGTGCAGGCAGCCATTTTTAAAAGTGGACTGTGGAGGCGGACTGACCAGAGCCAGTCCTTAGCCCTACTGTCCACTAGCCATGTGACTATGGGCAAAGTACCTAATGTCCCTCTGCCTCAGTCTGCTCATCTGCAAAACAGGAGCCAAAGCCTACTTTATAGGATTGTAAAGTAGGATTGCAAGGTGGAGTAAGTGAGTTAATGAATACAAGACACTTAGCACAGAGCCTGGCACATAGCCAGCATTTAGTAAATGTTTGCTATTACCAGGATCACTTGAACAAGTGGGTGGATTGGGGAAAAGAAAAATTAAGGAGGTAATACTGCCAGGACTTGCTGATGACCTCGTCACCCAGCAGCATACTGGTGCCATTTGATGAACCCGGGACGCCGGAGGTGATGGGGAGGAGATCACACAGTCAGCTTTGACACATGGCGATTCTGAGCACCCTTGCATCATCTGAAAGTTGATGCCCAGGAGTCTGCCTGTTTACATGTTCAGGGAGACGGTCAAGAAGAGAGAAGGAGGGACTGGAGTGGGGAGAGGGGATCCAGAGTAAAAGGCTTCGCAGAAAGCAGGAGAGAACATCAGCCAGAGACAGTGAGTGGAGGGACTGGCCTGGGACAGGAGTGGAGCTGCCAGACAAAATACAAGACACCCAGTTAAAACTATGGTTCAGATGAACAATGAATAATTATTTCTACAGCTATGGCCCATGCCATATTTTATACTAAAAATACACATTGTTTATCTAAAGTTCAGATTTCGTTGGGCTTCCTGGAATCTTATGTGCCAATCTGGTCACCCCAGACAGCAGGGCATTGCCTCTGTTTTAGAAGAAGCAAGTATGCAGAGGGTGGAAATGGGGACAGGGGGGTGTGTTTGCTGCTGTTCTCTCTTTGATGCCGTTTCCTGCTGAGGGTGATGGTGATGAGATAGGGAGAAGGAAGTTAGGAAGTTTGAAAAGGAAGGAGGGCATATTGATCTGCTGAACTCAGTAAAATTGCCAAGAAGATTGGATGAGTCATTTCAGGTGGAGACAATGAATGTGCATCACCTCCAGAGGCAAAGGTTCCGGGAAAGAACATGCTGACGGTTGAGTTCATTTATGGCTAGGATTTTGATGGAGGGTGGGGTGGGGGGTGCCAAATGTCCGAAAGGTGAAGGGTCTGCAGAGTAGAAAGACTACTTGTGAAACTAATGGGACATGGACTCCAAGTTGGACGAAGTGGGAAGCCAGGGAAGGAGGGAAGCAGAGGCTAACAGCAAGTATAGATTGAATTTGCTAGAACATATTAGCTCGACAATGAAATCAGAAATTCAAGTGACATTAGGAGGCTCGGGTGCCTTATTTTTATTTCTCTGGGAGACTTTCCCCTTCTCATAAACTCTGCCCATTAACTTTCTTCCTTAAAAGAGCTTTATAAAATAGCCACTTTAATCCTTGAAGATCTGACCACTTTCACTTAGTGAATCAGGCAGGTTGGCACTTACCCAGTTGTTGGGTGGCGTGGTTATGCCATTCACATGGGAACAGTTATGCCAGATATAATAATCAGTGTATTTCCCCGTCCGGTTACGACTCAGTTGAAACCAAGCATGTTTATCACTGGTGTGGTTTGGTATGAAATCCATTATTAATTTTAAACCTAATGAGTAAAAATGTTTCAGGTGTTAGGAAAAGACTATATCAGAAAAGCACATGACGGTGAAGGAAAAACTGCTGTAAATAAGCATTTACAGAAATGCTTTTCTCAACCTCCACCCTCTCCCATCTACTTTCCATTGGGTTTACCTTTATCATGTATGGCTGCAAGCAAGTCCTCAAAGTCTTTCATTGTTCCAAAAATGGGGTCGATTTCTCGGAAATCTTCAACACCATGCCGGAAATCTTTAAGGGATGATTTATAAAATGAAGTAATCCAAACAGTTTTTATATTTAAATTTTTGATATAGTCCAGTTTATCTTGAATACCTGAAGAAAAATAATCAAGGCCATGAAAAATAAATAAATAAAGGATCAGGGTTTTTTTGGTTGAAGAATTAAAAATAAAAGGAATATGCCTAAAGTCAAAACACATGTATTAAGACAGAAACATTTGGAATTGCACTGAGTTTGAGCGAAAATTCAAATAGTAAGGTCTAATTCTACAAACAATATCAAATTAGCCTTCTGGCAGTAACCTTTGACCTTTAGTATAATTTCAATAACATGAAATCTGCCTGTGGCCTGTTGGTTTCTTATATTTAACACCAAGATGCAGCATTGTTACTTGATTCTGCACATGGTTTCTCAGCACCCAATCCAGTCCAGCCGCCAGGCTAAGTGCCAATGTACAAAGAAGAAAACAAATGTCCCCTGACAGTCACCTCGTCTGAGCTGCACTGTCCCGCACGATAGCCACTTACAACGTGACTAAGTCTGAACTGAAATGTGCCGTAAATGTCAAACACACTGGACTCTGAAGACCCAATGTGGAAAGAAGGAATGTAAAATACCTACTTAATATTGTTATTGTGATCATACATTGAAATATTAAATAAAATATACCGTTAAAATTAATTTCACTTGATTCTTTTTACTTTTTTTAAATGTAGCTCCTCAAAGGTTTACAGTCATTTATGTAATGCTGTTTCCTCTGACAATGCTGAGTCCAAGAATTTACACGGAAGAGAATTCTAGACTCAGCTGAGAGGAGACGCAGGCATGAAGCAGAGTGTACTTGGAACCTTGTAGGGTAATTAGCAGGTGGTGTGTTCCTTCGCTCCTAGTTCAGAGTCCTAAATAGACTCAGGAGCGTGTCAGGGTCATACAGCAGGCCAAAGGTCACTGAGGCCAAAACCAACACACAGTCACCTGGCTCCTGGCATGAGGACTTTCCCCCATGACAGACTGCTTGTGTGTGTCCTCACGGTGCCTTGGTTCCCACACATGGGGGCTCTGAGACCTCACAGAGTGGCAACAGGCAACAAAAGGGTTTTGATTTAACAGGACAACAGTGCCATTTATCTCAAAAATGGGTACAAAGGAACAAGATGACAAAAATAATGGGGCTGGACAACACCAGGTAAAAGTGAAAAAGGGACCCCAGGCCTACACTCAGGGGACAGAAGGCAATCACCCAAACCAAACTGAAACCCGCAATGGCTTCTTCAGATGACAACGAAATTCCCTCCACCTCAATGACAAATACCTACCAATTACAGGAAGCAGCCAGTTCCTCAAAAAAAAAAAAAATTATTGGAAATGGCAAATGTAAGAGCTGACTAGAAGCTGCTGTATTTAAAGGAATTTGGGGTATACAGGTGTGCCCCACTTTTTGAAAGCCCTATTATGTCACTTTCCTTTCTCAAAGACGGAAGTTAATACCTGTTTTTGCTAACCAAAAGAACTCCGAAGAGGATTTCACTTTTAAGAATAAAGGGCCGGCCTTGGCAGGATGGCCCAGTTGGTTACAGCGCCAGGGCTGTGGGCTGATCCCCGTGGGGGTGTGAGCGGAAGTGAACCAGTGAGTGCACGTCTGGGTCGAGCAAGGGATCGATGTTGCTTCCTCCCTTCCTCTGTCTCTAGTCAATCAGTAATTTTTTTAAAAGAAAAAAGGCGAAAATAGCATGTGTAGCGTTTGTCCTGCAGCCATTATAGCGGCGGTGGGACCCACAGGCCGCAGCGGAGAACGGCCCGCCACGCCCCTGCCGGAGAAACCAGGCTCAGCACCTCGGCATCAGGCCCCGAAGCTTGGAACTGTGTCTGTGAGCTTCTGCGCTTTATTCAATTTATTTGGCATATCTGTTGGCAAGATGTGTCCTGTATATTTATTATATCTTTTCTACTTGCATGATCTATTAGTGTTACTTTAGGTTTCATGTGTTATTTGGTATGATCTGATAGGTTATTTTTGGGGTCTAGGGATGCTCAACAATTTTTTCCATATAAATGAACGGTAATTGCTTCCTCACTTTCTGCCATTTCAGCTTATGGAAGGTTTCCTGGGAAGGCTTCGGTTTCTGACAGTGGGGGAGACCTGACCCTGGAAGGCAGTACAGAGGGAGAACCTGGAAGTGGGGAATGTATCTTTGGGTTGACGGATTTTTTTAGCTCTCTTTTGTAGGGAAAAAAAAACCAAACCTCTTTTGCTAGGGCTGTTGGGTGTGGGGGAGGGGGTTGGGGTGTGGAAGGGAAGTCACCCAGATATATGACAAGGCAGGGTCAGAGGGCACTATAAAGGAAGTCCAGAGCACCACAGGCGTGCCGAGGAGGGAGGGCACGTACTGAGGAGGGAGGGCACGTACTGAGGAGGGAGGGCACGTACTGAGGAGGGAGGGCACGTACTGAGGAGGGAGGACTGAAGAGAGAAAATGCACGCGAGTGCAGGACACCGGTTTGAACTGCACCTTGAAGGGCAGAGAGCATTTCAATCAGTGAAGAGGCAGGAAGATTTTTAAAAAGAGAGAAAAATGACAGGAGCATGCAAAAGAAAAGCCTTTTATTAGTTATTAAGAAAAGAGATTTCCAATTTATCAGTACCATTTTAAAGTTGGATTAAGCCCATTCCTACCTCCCACACTCAGTGAAAATAACCATTCTGTTTTACTTTCTTCAAACCACTATCAAAATCACTACCCAAAATGACCTAGTCTGATTAGCTCTTATTGTTACCCGTAACTAGGGTGACCATGTCAACAGATTTGCCCGGGACAGCTCCAGTTTACACCTCCTTGTCTGGCATAATTTTACTCTCAAAACTGTCCTGGTTCACACAATAAATTAGAAGGACATTCTATATTTAAATCACTACGAGATTATTAGTGTAACTTTAAAAATATAATAGTTTATTTCTACTTTTTTACTAATACATGGATGTTGTTTTACATTTTCTTTAATTCAAGTAATGACCAACTCACTGCTATGCCTTTTTTCCTTTCCTTCATTTCTCAGGATTTATACTTTAAAGGCTCAGCCTACACCTTTTAATGATATCACAACTTTTTTCCTGAAATATTATTTACACTTCATTCACTAATCAGAAACTCTCAGCCAGATTGCCCAACCAATCAATACATATACTGGAAATGCAGTGAAGCTGCCACTCTAGGATAATCAACTATAAAGTGCACAGAAGCAAGAAATTTTCAGGAGGAAACCTGTTGCATGTAAGAACTTAGAATTGATGAGCTTCCAGCCAAGATGGAGACATAGATAGATATGCTTTGCTTCCTCGCACAATCAGAAGAAGGACAACAACCGACTTAAAAACAAAAGCAACCACAACTTCCAGAAATCGAACTTTATGGAAGTCCAACAACCAAGAAGTTAGAGAAAATTTTGTGCAGACTGGTAAAGGGGCAGAGAAGGAAAGCTGGGGCAGAGAGGACACATAGCAAGGTGGCAGCTGGCAGACCAAGCATTCCACATTCATGTGTGGATAAGCCAGGAGGAACAACTGGGGAGCTGGACAGACCTCAAAACCCAGGGTTCCAGTGCAGGAAACAAAAGCTTCAAAACCTCTGGCTGTAAAAATCTGTGGGGGTTACGGCGGTGGGGAAAACTCCAAGTCTCACAGGGGAGCCCATTGGAAGGGCCTACAGGATCCCAGAACATACACAAACCCATCCACACAGGAATCAGCACCAAGACATCACCAGAAAGGGCATGATCCCCTTGTTGGAAGTGAGGGAAGTGGCTGAAAGTGGGTGAGAGCTAAGCAAGTGGCGTTGTTACCTCTCTGACCTCTCCCCAAGATACACTGCCACAATACAGCTGTGTGGGTTGCCCTGCCCTGGCAAATACCTAAATACCTGGCAAATACCTTGGTGCATGTTATAACATGCACCACAAAGAGCAAGACAAAGAAATATAGGCCAAATGAAAGAAGAGATCAAAACTTCAGAAAAAGAACTAAGTGATGAAAAGATAACCAACCTATCAGATGCAGAGTTCAAAACACTGGTAATCAGGATGCTTGCTCACAGAAATGATTGAGTGTGGTTGCAAAATAGAGGAAGAAGTGAAGGCTATGCAAAGTGAAATAAAGGAAAATACACAGGGAACCAAGAGTGAAGAGAAGGAAACTGGGACTCAAATCAAAGATTTGGAACAGAAGAAAGAAATAAACATTTGACTGAAACAGAATGAAGAAACAAGAATTCAGAAACTTGAGGAAAGACCTAGGAAATTCTGGGATGACTTTAAACATTCCAACATCCAATCATAGGGACACCAGAAGGAGAAGAGGAAGAGCAAGAAATTGAAAACTTATTTGAAAAAATAATGAAGAAAACTTCTGCAATCTGATGAAGGAAATAGACATGCAAATCCAGGAAGCTCATAGAGTCCCAAAGTAGTTGGACCCAAAGAGGAACATACCAAGGCACATCATAATTAAGTTACCCAAGATTAAAGATAAAGAAAGAATCTTAAAAGAAGCAAGAGAAAAGGAGACAGTTACCTACAAAGGAGTGCCCATAAGGCTATCAGCTGATTTCTCAAAAGAAACCTTGTAGGCAAGAAGAAAGAAGTCATGAAAAGCAAGGACTTACAGCCTAGACTCTTCTCCCCAGCAAAATTATCTTTTGGATGGGAAGGGCAGATAAAGTGCTTCCCAGATAAGGTCAAGTTAAAGGAGTTCATTATCACCAAGCCCTTATTATATAAAATGTTAAAGGGACTTATCTAAGAAAAAGAAAAAGATCAAAACTATGAACAATAAAATGACAACAAACTTACAACTATCAACAACTGAACCTAAGGAAAAAACAAAAATAAAAACAAACTAAGCAAACAATTGGAAGAGGATCAGAGTCACAGAAATGGAGATCAGTAAAGGTACAGGGTATAAGAAGCATAATTGGTAGGTACAAAGCAGACAAGGTGGGGTGTTGAGAATAGTATAGGATATGAAGAAGCCAAAGAACTTATATGTACAACCCATGAGCATGAACTAAGGTGGAGAATGCTGGAAGGACGTGTGGTGCTGGGCAGAGGGGGAGAAAGGTGAGAAAAATATAGGACAACTCTAATAGAATAATCAATAAAATATACTTTAAAAAAGAAGTTAGAATTGATGACCAACTAAGCATATGAGAAGTAAATTAAACAACTCTTTGGGGGCTTCAAGGCCTTCAAGTATTCTTTCATTATACAGGAAGGATTTCCGGGTTCTATTGGATGGCTTTTAAAAAGACCATAAACAAGGTGTGACCAGTTGTAAATGGAAGATGCTTACCGTATAACCCAGATATAATTCGGTTTCAAGGACAGAGAAAGCCACACACCCACCTCATCCTGCCCTACCCCCACTCTGTCCCCCAGGCACCTTTTAGATCTCCGTTGCCGTCCTTGTTGCTGTCCTTGAAAGATCGTGGGTAGATCTGGTACATGGGTCCTGCCTGCCACCAGTCGAGGCATTTTGGAGAGATAGCGATGATGGCTATGGTGGCTGCAGTGAGTGCCAGCATAGAAGCCACAGTGAGCCAGAAGAGGACCTCTCGGGGCACCCGGTATCGGGCCTGGCTAGAGAACTGAAACAGCACCTCCTTGGGCATCCCTGCATAGGGCTGGATATTCGTTAAGTCAGGCTCCTCAGGGCCAGCCATGCCCACGATGCTGTGCTGTGGGCAGTCTGCCGGGCTGCCTGGATCCAGGTCCTTTTCCAGAATGTCTTCATTTTGGACAAACCCATTGTTTGTGTGGCAGCTCTCCATCCTCATTCCAATAGAATCTCTCTTGCTTTTCTTCTCAGCCATGTCTCAGCGTCTTATCCCTGGGATGCATCTGCCTGCAGTAACGAGGGTGGAGAAGTGGATTGCTGAAATGCTTAGTTATGTTAATGAGCTTTGTGTGGTTTATAAATAAACCTGGCTGGACAAAGTCCAGCCAAGGAAGAAAGAGTAAAGGTCAAGGGGGGTTTAAAAAATTCTGTTTATACCTGTGAGGCTGATATAGCTACCATCACAACACTGAGAGGCTCAGACCTGGCCTGGGACAGGGTTAGGGGAAGGGAAGGGGAGAGGAGGAGGACAGGAAGAAGTAGTAGGGCTCCACTGAAATTTAAGATGTTACCTGACTGAGTACATCAATGTTCATAGCATCACTATTCACAATAGTCAAATGGTGGAAAAAGTCAAGTGTCCATCAGTGAACAAAAACCAAAGTATCACATAAGTGCACAATGCACTATTAATCAGCCTTAAAAATGAAGGAAATTCTGACACATACAACAACACAATGAAACTTGAAAGCAGCCCTGGCTGGTGTGGCTCAGCAGATTGAGTGCTGGCCTGTGAACCAAAAGGTCACTGGTTCGATTCCTAGTCAGGGCACCTCCCTGGGTTGCAGGCCAGGCCCCCAGTAGGGAATGTGCAAGAGGCAACCACATGTTGATGTTTCTCTCCCACTCTTCCTCCCTCCCTTCCCCTCTCTCTGAAAATAAATAAAATATATATATTTTTAAAAGATAGACCAAAGAGGCCCACACCAAGACACATCATAATCAAAATGCCAAAGGATAAAGACAAAGAGAAATCTTTAAAACAGCAAGAGGAAAGTTATTAGTTACTTACAAAGGAGCTTCCATAAGGCTGTCAGCTGATTTCTCAACAAAAACACTTCAGGTCAGAAGGGATTGCCACGAAATATTCACCAGCCCTAGCTGAGTAGCTCAGTTGGTTAGAGCACTGTCCTAATACACCAGTTGTGGGTTCAATCCCCCAGTCAGGGCACATACAAGAATCGACCAATGAATGCATAAGTAAGTGGAACAACAAATTGCCACTTCTCTCTTTCTCCCTTCCTCTCGCTTTTTAAAATAACTCAAAATTTCACTCAAAATTAAAGAAATAGAAACAAAGTAAAAAAGTGATAGTTATTTTGTTCTTTTAACTTTTCAGGGTTTTTCTTCTTTTTTTACTTTTTATTGAATTTATTAGGGTGCCGTTGATTGATAAAATTATATAGGTTTCATGTATACATTTCTACAATACATCACCTATATATTTTATTGTGTGTTCACCACCCCAAGTCTCTTTAAACTTTTTTGGACTTTTCTCATTTTTGTATAATAATTATGTATTATTCTTCCACTGGGAAAACATTAAGTTAGGAAACCCTGAGTTGGGAATCTACCAAGAATTTCCAGGAAGGTAGTCGAGTCCAGTATAAGGTGGCCCCTTAGACACAGTCCCCCCAAATTAAAAAATACCCCATACTCCTATTTTAACTATAGAAGAAAAGAGCAAACTCCAAAGAGCAGACAGATGGATTCACTGAGCAAGTGCTGAAGTGCCGGAGGACACAGGAAGTTGCCAGAACTTGGACAAGACACCACAGTGCTCAGAATCCCAGGCAAGTACTTTCTCTCCAGGAGATTTCACAGTGATATTGATTATGGAGAGCCGAACACACTGCTGCTAAGACGTGTAAACTTGAATGAGTTACAAGGACACTGAGGAAGCTTAAGAACTAAATTGGATCATCGGAGCAAAGAATCAGAGATAATAAAGGGAAACTCCCAGTAAATTCAGTCCCAAGCGAGTTGCACAACCAGGGTAATAAAGCAAAGAAGAATGAAATACCTGGGAAACAAATGGCAAGACAATGGGGAATATAGCACAGGACCTAGAAACACCCTGCAATTCAACAAGCCTGGAGAAAATCCCACAAATAAGCAAACACAAAAAGCAGCAATCAATGGAAAAACATAATCAATTTTAAAGCCATCGCATCAGACTTCCCATTCATCAGCAAACCCACCAAAGTGGCACGCAACCTCTTATACGTATAAAGTTAAAGTAGAAAGAGGATTTTCCATATTACATTTACCTTTACAGCCTCTGCGAACTCAGGGTGGGATGTGCTGCCCAGTCATCTTTAAGTTCCCAGCATCAGGCTCGGTGACGGATACGTGTTAAGTGAGTAAGAGGAGGTGGAGGAGTGGATGAGGAGGGAGGAGGAGAAGAGGAGAGGAGGAAAGTGGGACGTGTATGCCGCCCCCAAATATAGATTTTTATCACTTAGCCAAATGTTCTTACCTTGGTATAATTTAGTGAGTGCAATTTTAAGTCAGAGGAAGATTCGAGCCTGCCTCCTTCATTTGCTCTCTAACTGATCTTAGGTGAACTTGGCCCCTTCATTCAGCCTGTTATCTCAACTGTAAAATTTAATTTGATTCTGAGGTTAACATTATATAGCCCAGAGTAAAATGTTTTTAAAAACAGTTCCAATGAAAAGGAAACACAAACATCGATTTATCCCAGCTAAAGAAGGAAGTTCATCTCACTCAACCACTGAAATCAAGGGAGAATATTTAAACGCGTTTTTGCTGAAAGTTAAACTATTTTAAAGCATTTTTAGAAAGTATTTTTAAATTTATTTTTATAGAGGGGGGGAAGAAGGAATAAGAGAGGGAGAGAAACATTAATGTGAGGGAGAAATATCGACCAGTTGCCTCTCGTACGCACCCCACTGGAGACTCGACCCACGACCCAGGCATGTGCCTTTCATTTTGCAGGATGATGCCCAACCGACAGACCCGCACTGGTCAGGGCTGTTTTAAAAATAGTTTTACAGCCAAATATAATAAAAATAGCAAAGGAAATCTTGGCAGAAGATTTCCTGTTGTCGTACGGAAGTCCGACAACAAAAAACCATTCATCCAGACCGGTAAGAGGGGTGGAGTCGGCAGCTGGTGGAGCGGGGTCTCGCAGGAAAAAGTGGCCAGACCTACAGGCACACAGGTGGCAGTTGGCAGATCCCAGGTGTGTGGTGGCAACAGGTGGACCCAGTTGAGGGCGCAAGGTGGCTGGCTGACTGCGGTCACACATTCATGCGCAGATAAACCAGGCAAAAAAAAAATGAGCAGTGAGACAGATCGCATGAATCTGGGCCCCAGTGCCAGGAATTAAAGCCTAAAAGCACCGATTGAAGAAACTTTCGGGGTTGAGGTGCCAGGAGAGGCTCCCAGGCTCACAGAGAGTTCGTTGGAGAGACCCACAGGGTTCTGGAGGGTGCACAGGCCCACACACCTGGGAACCAGCACCAGAAGGGCCCAATTTGCTTGCGGGAAGGGAAGCAGCAGAGGGAACCGAAATCCGGGAGAGAGCAAAACAAATGCCATTGCCCCTCTCTGACCCCGCCCCCACATACAGTGTTACAACCCAGGGACTGGGTTGCCCCACCCTAGTAAACACCTAAGGCTCCATCCCTCATACATAACAGGTGCGAACAAACCAAGACATTCTGGCTCAAGAGGAATAGCTCAGAGCCCCAGAGCCAATACTTCTGAGTGGCCAGGAGATAGCCAATCTATCAGATACGCAGTTCAAAAGACTGGTGATCAGAATGCTTACAGAACTGGTTGATTTTAGTCACAAATTAGAGGAACATATGAAGGCTAAACTAATTGAAATGAAGGGAAATGCACAGGAAACCAATAGTGATGGGAAGGAAACTGGGACTCAAATCAAGGGAGTGGACCAGAAGGAAGAAAAAAATGACCAAACAGAAAAGAATGAAGAAACAAGAATTCAAAAAAATGAGGAGAGGCTTAGGAACCTCCAGGATATCTTTAAACGTTCCACCATTTAAATTATAGGGGTACCAGAAGGGTAGGGGGAGAGGAACAGCAACAAGTAGAAAACTTATTTTGAACAAATAATAAAGGAGAACTTCCCCAATCTGGCAAAGGAAATAGCTTCCAGGAAATCCAGGAAGCTCAGAGTCCCAAAGAAGTTGGACCCAAGAAGGAACACACCAAGGCACATCATACTTACATTACCCAAGATTAAAATGAAGGAGAGAATCCTAGAAGCAGCAAGAGATAAGGAGACAGTTACCTACAAAGGAGTTCCCATCAGACTGTCAGCTGATTTCTCAAAAGAGACCTTACAGGCAAGAAGGGGCTGGAAAGAGGTATTCCAAGTCATGAAATCCAAAGACCTACATCCAAGATTGCTCTATCCAGCAAAGCTTTCATTTAGAATGGAAGGGCAGATAAAGTGCTTCTCAGATAAGGTCAAGTTCAGAGTTCATCATCACCAAGCCCTTACTATATGAAATGTTAAAGGAACTTATCTAAGAAAAAGAAGATAAAAAATATGAACAGTGAAAGGACAGCAAACTCACAGTTATTAACAACCACACCTAAAACAAAAGCAAACTAAGAGGACAGCTAGATCAGGAGCAGAACCATAGAAAGAGAGATCACATGGAGGGTTAGCAACAGGGGAGTGGGAGGAGGAGAAGGGGTGAGAAGGTACAGAGAATAAGTAGCATAGACGATAGGTAGAAAATGGATGGGGGGAGGGCGAGAATAGTATGGGAAATATAGAATCTAAAGAACTTGAGACACATGGTCATAAACTAAAGGGGGGAATGGTGAGGGAGGGGTGTACTGGGGGAGGGGTATGAAGGGGAAATAGGACAACTGTAATGGCATAATCAATAAAATATATTTTTTAAAAAAGAGTTAATCTTTTGGAAGACCTTAAACTACTAAGCCTGCTTTAAATTGGGGAAAATTATCTAAGTGTAGGGAGCATTGCTAATTGCACAAGTTCTAATCATAAATGTTAGTTGTATCCTATCTATCTCTTACAACCAAGAATGTAAAATTGTGGAACCAAATCTTCAACAGGAGTGAATTTGGTTCATTGGAATTTTCTAATTAGAATAGGGGTCATCTTTGGTTACTTGATAAATATAAAAATATATACTCTTACAGAAGAAAAAAGCAAAGTAAAATCTATTCTCTGAACTTCACATTTGAAACTAAAGTACACTTTATCAAGCAAAGCCATAATCAACCACAT